GTAATAAGTTAATTAAAGGGAAGGTCGAAGGTATGTCCTTGACCGATTTGAAACTCAAGAGGGAAAACTTGTAATAAATTAAGCAAAGTGAATATTGAAGATACATCTTTGGTTGATTGGAGACCCAAGAGGGAAACCTTGTAATAAATTAAGAAAACTTAATATTGAAGGTACATCCTTGACCAAGTGGGGACTTGAGAGGGAAACCTTGTAATAAATTAAATTGAGTTTTTAAGGACAACAATACCTAATGATATCATAACAATACCTATTTAAAAACCTCCTTGCCTAAAATCCTTTCACGTTTTTTAAGGAAAAAATGATCGAGTGAGAAAAAAATGCACTACACAAATGGGTCAACTATAATACATCATATGGGTGGATTTCCATGTTCTTGAAATGGTCTTGCTTGAGAGCCATTCGAGTTTGTAAGCTCCATTCTTGAGATTTTGCCACATACAGAATAAGTTGTCCTAATTTGTTGCGAGTTTGTCTTCTCTTAAATCTTTTTGTGCTTCCTCGTGGAGTTTCCATACTAGGTCGCCTTCTTAAAAGTCTCTAGGACTTAACTTGGAGTTGAATCTTCTAATCATTCTTTGTTTGCAAGCTTTGGCTAGTAATCATGCTTGCTCCTAATTTGCTTCTGCTAAGTCGAGTTTGGTTCTCAACTCTTGCCCATTATGTTCTTCTTGAAAATGGAGTTTCCAGAAAGAAGGTTCTCTGACCTCTACTAGCAACATTGTATCCGTTTCGTAAGTCAATTGAAAAGGGGCTTCTCTCGTGGTGGATTGTGGAGTGCATCGATATACCCATAGGATTTCAGGTAGTTGTTTAAACCATGTTCCCTTCGCACTTCCAAGTTGTTTGTGCAATTCCATTAAAATAAGCTTGTTTGCTGACTCAGTCTGCCTGTTTGACTACATGTGTTCCACTAATATTAGGGATGAGAATAGGTCAAGTCTTAAATAGGACCTCATGGCCTAACCTATTTTAAATCTAACATGGTCTGATCTATTTAATAAAAAGGTCAAATTTAGATTTTTTAAAAAATGTATTTAATTAAAAAGGTTAAACTTGGGTTTATTAAAAGTTTGTTAAGCTTAATAGATTAGTTTATTTATCTATATAATATAATAAAAAAAATATACATATTACATTATTAAAAATATAAAATTAAATAAATAAATTTGTAATACAAAAAATAGATTATTAATATTTTTTACATTTTCACTAACTTGTTTAAATATTTACATTTCATGTTCATATGAAATCAAGAAATAATAATAATAATAAAATCTAGCGATCGTATCTTTGTTTGCTATTTTCCTTCAATTTCATAGTTGTTTATTTAGGATATTCCAAATGGAATATAAGAAGTATTTAGAATTTTTTTATAAGATTATTTCTTTCATTACACGTGTGTGAGTATATATTAGTGTACATAGAAGTGTGTATAAGTTATCCCTTTAACGTTAATTTTTATTTTTTTTAAACTTTAAATTTTAATAATACTAGAATAAGCTATATTTTTATCACGAAAATTATTAAAAAAAAATTTGTACGCATATTTAAAAATAAATGTATTGACTTATTTAAAAACAAATTTATTGGTCTATTTAATATTGTTAATGTAAAATAGATTTTTGATATGCTAATAGACCAAATCAGGTTTTTTAAAAAAGTCAGACCTAGAAAAGAAGTCTATAATAGATTATATATTAAATTTAGACTTTAATTTTATAGAATAGGTTTTCTTTCATAATCAAAGCTCGACTTATATATTTAAAGTCTAGTTTGATCTAACCTATTCTCATTCATAATTAACATGAATCAATGCTTGACACCTAGGCCTTGTAGAAACTCATTGAATTTTTTATCTATGAACTAAAGGTCATTATCAATGATGATGACATGTGGGATGACAAAATAGAATGGAGCTCCTCTACCGGCTGTTAATAATATTAATTATCGTTTTGTTGGCACTTGGTGGATTTTTTTTTTGACAAAGTTAGTACAATCAAATTTTAGTGTCGACTAATAATAGCTTACCCTCAATACTTTTGAGTCAATCACCTTGTTGAACCAACAGATCTAATAGCACTTGTATATCAAGATTCCTATAGACGATGCCACTTGTTATGTGCAAGTGCAAATTAGATTTTTACATTAGATATAGTTGAGTATGTTAAGTAACATATAAGAGAGAAATACCCATAAACATGGCGACTTTAAGGTTTTGGGTTAAGATGTGTTATCGAGTTCACTTGTGGGATTTTCTTATTACCTATTATGGAGATCTCAATAATGTTTAAGCCCCCTATGCTCCCAACTATTGGTATCAAATAGCTGATAATTTGACCAAGTAATTGAATCAGACAAGTATTGGTTAATGAAATTAATGGTAGATCCATGTTTGGAGATCCTATGTGTCAAAATTCTTTTTGACAATATAGAGGTTATACAATGTGTCCATTGATGTGAGTTAATGGCGGTGAAGGTATCTAGAACTTATTGGTGGAGATGGCTATGCTCTGAGGGTCATCATTGAACACTCATGGATGAAAAAAGACTGCCACTTGAGGTATGTGGAAGAGATTGGTGTGCAACTTTTGAATAAAAGTCTTGAATTAGGTAAAGTTGAGTATGTTGAATAACGTATAGAACGACCCATAAATCTAATGCTTTAAAGTTTTGGCTTAAGATGTAATGTCGAGTTTACTTGTGTTATTTGCTTATGACTCATTAATAGAGTTCTCTATGATGTTTAACCTCCTCCCCCTTGTGTTTCCAACAACTACTTGAGAGGATTAATTGTAGCTTTTTTACCCATGTGAATTAAGAAATCTAACCACTAACTCTTTGAAGGTGTAAAGCATGGGAAATGAAAAAAATTCAACCTCTAATTAAAAATAAGAGAGGAGATTTAAATATAAAAAAATGAGATTTTAATGGTGAAAATTTTTACATGAGACTCCAAGTGAAAATAGGTTGTGAAACATGTTATTTTTGTACATTATAAAATATTAATAATTTAAGACTTCAATATATTTTTAATCTCTCAAATTTAAGGTAAATTTATTTTTAATCCTTCAAATTTAAAATTAATCTTTTTAGTTCCTATAATTTCAAAAAAAATATTATTTTAGTCTTTATATTCAAATTTTGTTAAAAAAATATGTCAAAAATTGTCATATAAAATTTACTTATTAATGTTCTTATTATCGAAAACATTATATTAAACTCAATTGATTGTACATAATTATCTAAATATGTCACTTTCAAATATATTATTAGTGATTTGAGGGATTAAAATAAGACTTTTAAAAATCACATGACTAAAAATAATAATTTTAAATTTAAGAGATCAAAAATAAATTTACTCTAATTTTGATAGACTAAAAATATATTTAATTTTTACTTATAAATTTGATCCATTATATGATAACAAACATTTTACTACAACCAAACAAATTTGACCAATACAAAAGGCTCTTCAAATCTAAACCATTCATTTATTTTCATATTATTATTAGAAGTTAACCCAAGTATGTGTTATAGAACAAAAGTGTATGAGTTGACAACGACATAACATGCCTAAGCGGGTAAATATATAAAAGCTTTCCATGCATGTTTGTGTAAGAAATGGAAGTATGAAACATCAACATTTAGGCTCCTAATCAGCATTTCACTCGATTTCGATTTCAAACGAAAAATATCTCGAATGGGAACCCTCTCGTTATTATTCATCTTAGCTGTTTCTTATATCTGCTTAACCTGCAAAATCGTTCAAATCTACCCAAATTCTTTTGTTTCATTTAGATAGCTCAGTTGCGGGCCAGTTCTTGAAATATTGCCCACCCCTAATATATATTATTTATAAATCTATTTTGTTCAACAACTTGAGTCGTAAATACGAGGTAAACCATCACTGTCCTACTCTAAATTTAGAACAATCAGATGGCATTGTAAAAATATCTAGTAAATAATTTGATTTATATATAGTGAGAGAAAGAGAGAGAGAGTTTAACTAGACATTTACACTGTGTTTGGTATAGAGAAAAAAAATGTAAAAAAGTGTAGGGATGTAGGGAAATATGTAAGAAATAAAGAATAAATAAAAGTTATTTGTTAACATAATAGAAGTTAATTTTATTCATTTATTTATTATTATCACCTTTAATGTAAAACTTAGATTATTTTTACTTTATATATAAAACAAAACCAAATTATGAACTGCAATCTAACAAAATGATAAACAACAACACTGACAAACATTTACGCACACTTTCCCTTATATTAGAGGGGAAATTTTTAACAATAGAACCCGCTTAAACACTTCTTTCCTCTCATACCAAACCATCCATTTTTTCTAACTTGCTTTCACTTCTCCACGTTTTCTCACTTCTTTTCTATTTCATTTCTCCCATCTCAAACACACCTTTAATGAACTTATAAACTTTTTTTTTTATCTAGTTTATTAATTTATAAGTTAATTTGACAAAAATAAATTTATTATGATAATTTATTTTAAAAGCTTAATTTTTTTATTATAAATTAATTGAAATAATAAGTTCTTAGTCTTTTTTTATCTTTAGTAATTTATTTAAAATCATTTTTAATTCTTTTATTTAAAAATTACTCCATTATAAAAATCCTCATCAATTTAAATCCTTTCTTACCTACTTATTATTTTCCACTTTCATTATAAAAATTATTTTATATCATTTTAAATTTATCAACTAACATTATTAAACACTTTCAATTCAATCATTAACTAATAATTTTTCAATTTTTCAACATCTAAGCTTACAAACATTCAGCTAACTTGTAAGTTAGTTTTACTGGACACGCCAATAAAAAGAAATATAAAAAGCAAATGAAAGATATATAAAGAGCATGCATTTGGTTTGCTTTGTTTTTCTTTCTTTTTTTTTTCCCTAGGGATTTATAATGTTTGATACCCTATTGTAATTATTAATTATAGTATTACACAGTCAAAATAGGAAGAAAAAAAAAACTAAAAACTCCATTCCATTCCTCTCTTTGAAGAGATTATACAAAATCCAATTACTGAAATTTATCAATTCATTGAGGTCTTCCTCAAAGAATTAATAGAGAGTCAACTCATGCAAGGGACACATGACACGTCTCAGTACTAGTTAGCTGCTGGAGGTTAATCCACATTCTGCAATCAACACATATCTTTACAATTCCTCAAACTCCTTAATATAAACCAAAAACTCCATTACCAATGAAAGACATTCAAGAACCCCATTTGACACTTTCTTCATTCTTGTTGCTTTGGCAACATTGAACTATCAGCAGACACAGCAACATTACCTTGGTTCTCCACATAAGGTCTAATGAAAGTTCTCCTCCACCACACCTCAAAAGCCCTCTGAAGATTGGGACAACTATCACCAGTCTTCAAGAAACTCCCCAACCATGAAAGCAAAATGCTCTGTTGATCCTCAAGAGGCAAGGTGAGAATAGTCCTCCCAATGCCTTCCTCCACGAGTTTCCGATCAAATGACCTGCATCCATGCTGCAACCAGTTGTAGTCATTCATCAGAGGCTGCAGCCATGTCTGCAACAACAACTGCCGTGTGTCCTTCGACGGCAACAATTCCCCCCTTCCAATGCCAACATAAAGCCTCCCAGAAAGGCAGCTAACATGGTAGCGCAACACGGTCGGCAGCTTAGCATGTAACACTGCCAGTTCCTGCTGGTTTGCCCACATCAGTGCAAACTCATCAGCAGCTTGTTTGTCAATTAAGATCTCAAGCAACCATGATAAGTTATCAGCTTCAAGAGCTATGCACTTTGTTAATGGATCACGCTCCTCACTCGGTTTGTCCGGTTCTGCAGCCTGCTTGAACAGAGACAGTAATGAATCCAAGCAGCTTCTGCATGATCTGTAAATCATGTCATTGCATATGTCAGTTGAACGGGCATAGCTTGGAAGACTGTTGTTCTCCCTGAGGAGCTTTAGGACAATGGATTTCATCTCTCGGCGGCCTCTTTCCTCATTGCTTTTGAGAACAAGTTCAATGATGTGGGAAAGAGGGTCTTTTGGGG